TGCTCCCACTATTTGATTTTGTGACCCTGACTGGCCTTATTTAACAAAATTGCTTTGATTACAAAAAGGAAAGAAACTATCTGTATCACATAAGCTTATTATGAGGAAATAAACATCTACACACATATGGAAGAGCGATGCAAACTAACGTGCAATATAAACATCAGTTACTATTATTAACTAATCCAGATCAGTGTCCTGAACTCAGCAATGCTAAATATCTCCAAGTAGAAGTTATTCTGTTACTTCAAACTCATGTCCCAATTTCTTCAGTGCTTTTCCTTTATAATTATTCCCTAACTTATTTTGTCAACAAAACCTATCATTCTTTTTACTCAAAACTTGTTATTTCTATTTAAACCCTACCCAGTTTTTTCTTCATAATCCAACCCCTCATTTTCAAATGACATTACCCTTGTTAGAGCCTGCACATGCCTTTAAGCCTCCAGCCTTCTGCAGCCCTTCCTGAGCACGTCTACCAGTTACAACCACGGAGTCAGGCTGCTTCCTCCTCAGGTCCCTCCCCCAGAGCCTCACTGCTGCCCACAGAGGCCACAAACCAATGGCATGCCCTGCTCTATTGTTTCTTTGCAGCTATCTTCCTGACCTCAGTTCAGTACCCAGATGGTTTCACTTAATTTCATTATCTGCTTGCCCCTTGAAGCAAGTAAATTTGTCATCTCTGGCATCAAACTAGATTAGCATTATAATGGCAGATTTGGGGGCAAGTCTAATCTATCCCAATGAGGTTCAGCTAACCTTTACACAACAGTTCACCATCTATAAACTGAAATATTACCTTTTACAGAATGGATAAGAGGGATAGCAATAATGTACTTCAGATTCATTCACAACACAAAGAAAAATGTAAAGCTTTAAAAATGGTAGCAATTATAACTTTAACGCCAACATTCAAGGACTTAATAATTAACCCCAGTTTATATTTCTAGAAGTTTTCTCCAACCACTCCACCACAAAAAGCCTATACTTTCATTTTACAAAATCCTGCCAGATAAAATCTCCACCATTTCTACTTATCTCAATTTTATTCATCCCAAAATGGTCCTATTGGCACTTCTGGGAAGTCTTCCCTAATCACAGGCAGTGGCCCACAGCATTCTTTCCCCACTTCTTAACTTACAGAGCTCTTACCCAACTATAGAGGAAATATCAGTTATGTGTGGAGGGGAGGAGATTTCACATCAAAGTGATACCAATGTAATAACCTGATTATTAATTAACAGGAAAGGAGTAAAGGGAAGGCCAGATAATACAGGCATGTCATTTGTACAGCTTTGCCAGGAAGCTGCAATTTAACACTCCCCAAGCATGTTCTCCTCGGAATGCTGGAGGAAGAGGCGGGACAATAGATGCATGCCCAGTGAGGTCTAGGTGATAGAGAAAAGGTGATTACCTATCAGTCACACCTGGGAGCAGGGCATGGGCCAGAACAGACATGGGCACTACAAGGTGGAAAATCTGAGATACTGAACAAAGTTTGCTCCTTGGCCCTCTTGCACTCCTGGCTCTGCTGTTGCAGGGAGCACGCTCCCACAGCCATGTGGGACCTGACTCAATTTCACCATGGAACGGGAACTGGACACTGCTGAAGCCCCAGCTGCACATTTCCCAGCACTGATTTAAGGGATATGGCACTTTGGAAACGGAGGGATATAATTTCGCACAAATACACCTTTCTACCACATCCCATGCTCCCATATCTTAAGAACCAGACCTCCAGCTCCCAGTGGGAAAGGGACAACCCACTCCGCCAGCAATGGAGAAATCCCCCCTATGCAATCTTCCAATAACAAAAGGACATTTGTCCCTCAAGGATCCTTCCCAAACATACAGGGGTTACAATGGACATAAGGAAAAGAACGAGAAAGCATCTCTTATGCTCATTAGAAAAAAATGTCTAACCAATTTACTAATTGGAAAATAATTTACAATTTCCTCTTTGAAAGATTACCACCAATTAAATAGGTCATTCCATCTTACTGTGAGATAATCTAACATATTCAAATTTTAGAATTAGCTTCTTTATATGGGAGAACAAAGGGAAAAATTCCCAGTGACATTTTCTAACACTCACAAACTGTCATTTTTAATGTATTTTTATTGATTTCAGAGAGGAAGGGTGGGGGGAGAGGGAAGGAGAGAGAGGGGGAGAAGGAGGGAGGAAGGAAGGAAGAGGGAGAGGGAGAGAGAGAAGCATTAATGATGAGAATCATTGACTGGCTGCCTCCTGCACGCCCCCCATTGGAGATCGAGCCCACAACCTGAATTGGCTGGCCAACACATTCAGTCTTAGGCAGAGTATTTCCCCAAAGAGAACCTTTCCATAGAGGTTCAGAGCCTGATGAATGAATGTCTTGCCTACAACTAAACAAACTGTCCCTCTCCCTTCCTCTCTGTGGAAAATCAATAAAATATATATTTTTTTAAAATATATCTTTATATAAGAACAGCACCAAAAAAAATGGCAATAACAGGAATAACTTTTAATAGTTTAAAGTGTGTCCAGAGTTTTTTCCTATGTATACAGGAAATACTCGTGTATACAAAGACAGTTTGGTTTTATAAAAGTGAAATAACATCATACATACCACTATACAACTTATTTGATGTCTGACATTCCTAAAATTATGTATAAATCTCAACAAAGATCATTTAAATTTGGAAATGTTAATAAGTAAGCAATCTAAAAAAAAGTTATCCCAATTAAGAATATCATCAGACTTTGTCATTTTGAATTAGTATTATTGTTTCCTTTTTTTCATGTATAACATATCATTTGACAGCTTCTGCTTAACAAAGACTCAAAAGAACCATTAAAATGAATTTAAGTCAAGACTACTACAAAATATCTCTCCTACCTTCAAAGTATACCAAGTAAGGAACTCACAGCTATTTTTCCTATATTACTATAACCAATTGGGGTATGACCCCCAGAGCTATATATGGTATAATTGTTAAAGGATAGCAGTATCAAATTGTGACACTTCCTTTAAATGTGAATTTTTTTTTAATTCCTAACTTTGCCATATATATACATACATATATATATATGTGTGTGTGTGTGTGTGTGTGTGTATGTATGTATATATATATAATTTCAACAGATAATCTGAATAATTACTAACCAAATGGGTGGAGGAGGGCAATGGGAAGAATAAAGATAAAAAAATAAAGAGAAACAGTGACTTATCTATGTCCTATCATTCTTTTTCTTTTCCTAGAAATACCCTACTCCGTAAAAGCCCAATGCCTTCAGTATATTTTCTCAAATTTCCAAGAATGCTCAATTACAATTATTTTTATACAGAGCTCCAATTTTCTTTTATAAGGCAAGAATACTTCCTTAAATATTCTTATATGTCTCACAGTAACTGGTTCAATAGTCTGTGATAAGTAAATAACTGTAGGAATGAATGTGTGTGGAAAGGAACTGCTAGATTTTTCTCAAGTTTTTGAACCAGTATTTTCGGTAGTACACAAGAAAAGCATAATTGGGGTTGGTGAATAGTATTACCTAAATAAGAAAAATTTACCAACCATTCCTTTTTTTTAAAAATTAATAAGTTGCAAAATAAATAAATAAAAAATAAAAATTAATAAGTTATACACATTTGCAATGTAAAGCATCTAGCAGGTGCTTCAACATTGACTGAAAGCGAGAAATTCTCAAACTCAGAAGCCAAAGACAGCTCTTCTCAAAATTACATAATAACCATTTTGGTTCAAGTGTGGTTTTACAAGAACAAAGGTCTTGTGTCCTCTGCCCTTTTGGACTTTATGAATTTGATTTACTAAAAAGTCAATCTGTTAGGCATTCCAACTTTGTGCTTGTTAGCAAGCGTCAGAAAAATTTTCTCAAAAGACAAGAATACTACCTCCATTGTCTTTCCTGTTTTCCAATAACAGCATATGAGAATTAGGCCAATAGAGAGATGCAAAATAAAACCACAATGAGGTTATCACCTCACACCGATCAGAATGGCTACCATCAACAAACCAACAAATGACAAGTGCTGGCAAGGATATGGAGAAGAAGGAACCGTAGTGCACTGCTGGTTGGGAATGCAGACTGCTGCAGCCATTATGGAAACAGGATGGAGTTTCCTCAAAAAATTAAATATGGCTGAAACTGGTTTGGTTCAATAGATAAGAGCGTCAGCCTGCAGACTGAAGGGTCCTGGGTTTGATTCCGGTCAAGGGCATGTACCTTGGTTGCTGGCGCATCCCCAGTGGGGGGAGGAGGGGGCGCACAAGAAGCAGCTGGTCGATGACTCCCATCGAAGTTTCTAACTATCTCCCTTCCTCTCTGTAAAAAAAGAATCAATAAAATATATATATTTTTTTAAATTCAATATGGCCGAAATCGGTTTGGCTCAATGGATAGAGCGTCGGCTTGGGGACTGAAGGCTTGGGGACTGAAGGGTCCTGGGTTCGATTCCGGTCAAGGGCATCTATAATACGTTGGTTGCGGGCATGTGCCCAGTGGGGGGTGTACAAGAGGCAGCTGATCAATGATTCTCTCTCATCGTTATTTCTAGCTCTCTGTCCCTCTCTCTTCCTCTCTGTAAAAAAATCAATAAAATATATTAAATAATAATAATATTTTAAAAAATTAAATATGGAACTGCCATTTGACCCACTGATCCCACTTCTGGGACTATATACTAAGAAACCCAAAACACCAATCAGAAAGAATATATGCAACCTATGTTCATAGCAGCACAATTTACAATAGCTAAGATCTGGAAACAACCCAAGTGCCCATCAGTAGATGAGGGGATAAAGAAGCTGTGGTACATTTACTAATACACTACGGAATACTATGCAACAGGAAAAAAGGAGCCTTACTCTTTGAGAGCATAGAGGGGCCTGGAGAGTATCATGCTAAGGGAAATAAATCAGACAAAGACAAGTATCACATGATCTCACTCATATGTGGAATCTAAGTAACAAACTGATGAATGAGTGGATCCAGAGACATGGACGCATGGAACAGAGTGCGGGACCTCAGAAAGAAAGCAGGGAAGGGCGGGTGCGTGGGAGGTAATCAACTAAAGACCTTGTGTTCATATAGGCATACCCCATGGGCACAGACAACAGGGTGGTGAAGGCCTGGGGCTAGGGGTGGGGGTGAGCTGGAGGGGATTAATGGGGGGAAGGGGACAAATGTAGTATTTTCAACAATAAAGATTTTTTAAATTAAATTTTTAAAAAAAAAAAAAGAATTAGGCCAATAACTCATCCTAATGTAAACTAGCATAAAAGATTCAAAGTAGACTAAATAAAATTACTTTTAAAAAGTGGTCTGAGTCCAATTAACAAACATTTATCAACATCTAGGATTTAAAACACTATGTGCCCCTAGCAGGTTTAGCCCAGTGGACAGGGTGGGCCCACAGTCCTGGTTCCATGCCTGGTAAGGCACGTGCCTGTTGCGGGGGTTACAGCCCTGGCCAGCTTCACAGGAGGCAACCAATCAATGTCTCTCTCACTCCCAGGTTTCTCTCTCTCCATCTCTCCTTCTCCCTTCCACTCTCTCTAAAACAACCAACGGGAAAATATCCTCAGGTGAGGATTAACAAACAAAACAAAACAAAACAAAACAAAAAAAAAACACTAAAATAAAATCATGACATAAATATTTCTGAGAAAATATGTTCATTCAGTCCACCTTCTGTCACAATGAATAACAGAAAGCATAGTATCTTCACATCCTTAGCAATGGTCTACTTACAGATCAAATAACCTCTCAAAAATTACATCCACCACCTTACTCGGCGGGCCTTCTGCTTCTCATAGTAATTATCAGCATGGGAAGGAGGACCCTATTTGTATCAAACAGCGAAATACAATAAGGAAATTCTCCATTGAACCCAGAGTTGTGTTGTTAAATTAAAAATAGTGGCCTTAAAGGCTATCCCTGGGATAAACTATTCAAGCACCATGCACACACACGTACACACACGTACGTGTACACACACACACACACACACACACACTGGAAACTATGCAATAAAGTAGTCAGCAGTACAGACACATTTTCACATGGCCCAAATCACAGCCCCACGCCTAGCAGACTGAGGGCGAACATTCCCATCTAGCTTAATGTCTTGTGGGAGTAACGTGACTCTACCAAGAGTAAGCACATCAGTCCTCCTGGCACTCAGGCAACATACATCACTTTGTGGTGTGGCCACACTGGAGAGAGGCATGACGGAGAAGACGGGATGATGAAACTATAAACAAACAAAGCACATCCACCGGGCAGTGGAAGAAACTGGAATGCTATTCCCAGAAGCAGCCATTCCTCCTGCGGTTCTGTCTCTACCTGGAAAGTTGTGAAACCCGCATATACCTACATACTCCATCCCAAATCCATCCGTGGGGCGGGCGGGGGCTGAGTCATTCCCTCATTCCCGGGAGTAACTTTATCCCGATCCTCCAACTCCGGGGTCGGGACAAAGACGCCTCTCTCTCCTCCCTCTCTCTCTCTCTCTCTCTCCCCGTTTCTCCCACTGTTCGGCCTCAGCCCAATTCCACTCTCGGGTTTCTCAAGTCAAAGGCACCATTAGGCCGGGCTGAGCCCAGCGGGGGTGACCACGAGGGAGGCTGGCGTCCCGGTATGTTCGGGGCGTCCCTCCCCATCCGCCACTCCCGCAAGGCTGCCAGGGGCGCGCCCCGACAGGCAGGCAGGCAGGCAGGCACCCCGGGGCCCCGCCGGAGGAAGCCCAGGCAAGCCCGGCCCTCCCGCAGCCCGGCGGCGGGGCTTCGGAGCAGCCCTGTTGGCACAGGTGCCCTGGCGATGGGCGGCGACCGCCAGGCAACACCTGCGGGGCCGGCGGCGCGGGGCCCGGGGCGGGCTCACACCTGTGCGCGGGCGGCGCTCCAGCCCTGCCGGCCCCGGAGCCCGGAGCCCGGCGCCCGGGCCCAGCGCGGCCGCGGGGCCAGCTGCGGGGCGAGGACACGGCGGAGGCGGCGGCACCCACCTGGCAGCACCTCCTCCGTCCGCGGCGGCAGCAGCAGCAGCAGCAGCAGAGCCCGCAGCCCCTGGCACCATCTTCCGCCGCCGCCTCGTCCTCGGCGGCGGCTACCAACCGCCCATCCGGCTCCGCCAACCGACACAATCGCCGGCGTCCCGGTGCCGGCCGCGGCCCCGAACTCCGGGCGGGCGGGCGGGAGGGAGGGGTCCGGGCGGAGCAGGGACGCGGTCAGCAGGCCCCTCGGCTCTGCGTCGGGGGCCGGGGGGAAGGGGGCCGCGGCCCGTCAGAGCCGAGGGGCCGCGGCGACGGGCGGGCTCGGAGGCAGCGCCGGGGTTCGCAGGCCCGCGGGCGGACGCGGCCGGAGCGGGGTTTGTTATTGTCGACTCCGTTCCTTCCTCCGCGGGGCATGCCGGGAGGCGGCGGGCGGGGGAGGGGCGGGCCGGCGGCGCAGAGGGCCGGCGCGCAGGACCGGAAGTCGCCGGAAGTCGGAGGCCTGCCGGGAAAGGGGCGGAGTCGGCCGGCCGGCGCTGTCCTCTCCTGACCTGGGAGGCCGAACTGGGCGGCCCGGGCGCTGCGGCCGCGGTCCGGCGGGCGTTCCCGCAAGGTGAACTTGACCTTCCCTTGCCCCGGCGAGCTGGCCTGAGCGAGGCGGACCCTGCGGAAGGCTGGATCGGCTCCAGGGGAAAGGGCTCGTCTCTGCAGCGGATCGCGGAGGAGCGGGGCCTGCCCCAGGTCGGGGTCTGGTCTCCTGCCCCCTGGGCCGCCCGATGGGGGGGCCCGGAGGGCTGTGGGCCGGCGGGGTCGGGGCCTGGCTGCCATCCCCACCCCCGGCACCTCCCAGGGGCCCGGGCTGCCAGCGGCTGGCCAGTGTCTGCGGGTGGGAACGGCACCGAGTTCTCAGACCAGGTAAGGCCAACAAAGCATCCGACCGACGAGGAAGAGAGGCGAGGCGGGGCTGGTCAGCGCGGCGCCGCGGCCACCGCTCTTGGGCTTTATCAATTCTGATTTCTCCAGTTCTAGCCTGAGCACCGAACTCCATCAGCGAGGGGAATCCTGATGGAGAAGAGGAGCATTCACAGGCAATGCCTTGAAGCCACAGGCTGGAGAATTAAACATCTGATAAGTTACACACAGAAAAATTATAGGATATTTTAAATTCCTTTTATATCCAGGAATGTCTGGTACGAGTAAGTTTAGCGGTGTTGCCAACCAAGTCATCAGAGGGCTTTTGAGTTGTGTTTCATAAGAATAAAGGCACCAAACAGAACAGATGCTATTGGAAAGTAGTGTGCAGCCCTTCCTTTGTCACGGTGGAAACTGATTTTTCAACAAACAAGGATATTGAACCAACTGGTAAGCATTAGGGATTTTCCGTTTTCATCGCCCTGACCTGGTACTTAAAAGTTAGGTTTGAAAAGAACTATTATTTTTACCACTTTGTTTTTAATTTTCCTTTCCTATGTATTAGAGATCTTGTGTCGGCAACATCATTTTACTCTACGGTATTTTGTTGTTTGTTTGTTTGTTTGTTTGTTTGTTTGTTTCAAGCTGCAATTTTATTACACCACCCCAGCAAGACATGGCAGAGAAGTGAAAAGTAAGACTACATGTAAGGTTGTTATGCCTTGGAGGAAGCTATGAACTGATTCTGTTAGGGATGGCATAGTAATCAGCAAACAGAAAATAACGTGGTGAAAAGGGATTTGACCAGAAAATTGGTAAACAAAATACAGCACTATTAGGCCTCTAAAGAGTATATCGGTGCTTGACTATCCCCTTAGTTATCAGTGACATTCATGATTACAAATACAACTTGGAATGTAAAAGCATCACTGGGATGAGCCAGTGACAATGTGTTAAATAATAAAATGTTTTAAATGTTACTTGTCTCTCTGACCTCTTTCTTTGGGGGGAAAAAAGAAATATTTCTCATTTTCTCTTGTAGTCATAGAGATTGGGTCATACCTTACAGATTGACACCTTCTCCAAAGCATAAATGTTAAGAGTGTTTACGCACCCCCTGTTCTGTCCTAGTAATAAGTGAAAATGTATTAACATTCTTTTATATATAAGCGGGAATCTAGAGGAGGTACCAACACAAGTTGATAAAATTAGTGTCCATAATAATGTTTCAGAAAGTGGCATTTTCCTTCAAACAAGGATATTGAAAACCCTCTGAACTCTTCCTTAATAAAAACAAGAATAAACAAAAAACCCTCAACCAAGTTTCTTTATAAGTCTCATTTTCACTTACTGTGCTTTTCTCATTGAAATTACATGTTAAGAGGGACCTCCAAATTATTGTGTTAAATGGACAGTTCTGAGCCTTTAACATTCTAAGGCATTTGCCATTCTTAATTAATCTTTTTATTTTCTTTTGTAGTATCTCTTTCTTGGCTCTTAAATCTGACCTTTTGCCTGGCCATTGTGGCTCAGTATTTGAGCATCGGCCTAGAACCAGGAGATCATGGTTCCATCTACAGTAGGGGGTGTGCAGAAGGGTAGCCAATCAATGATTCTCATTATTGATGTTTCTATCCCTCTCCCTATCTGAAATCAATTTAAAAAAAAATTTTTTTTTTTAATCTGGACTTTCATTTGGTCCTCTTCTGAATTCTCAACACAGTGTAAATTATACAAATACTAGAGGCCTGGTGCATGAAATCCATGCACTGGGGCAGGGGTGAGGGGGAGGGTGCCCTCAGCCTAGCCTGCGCTCTCTCAGCCCAGGACCATTTGGGGGATGTCCGCCTGCCAGCTTTGGCCCCCTAGGTCAGCAGGCAGACATCCCTCTCACAGTCCAGGACCCCTTGCTCCTTACCACTCGCCTGCTCACTGTTCCTCAGTACTGCTGCAGAGGCAGAAGAGGCTCCCACCACCGCCACTATGCTAGCCAGCCGTGAGCCAGACTTCTGCCTGAATGGCACTCCCCTGTGGGAGCTCACTGACCGCCAGGTGACAGCGCCTGCGTTGATCATCTGCCCCCTGGTGGTCAGTGCACATCAACCGATCATTCTGCCCTAATGGTCACGTAGGCTTTTATTATAGACTAGAGGCCCAATGCATGAAATTCCTGCAGGAGTAGGCCTTTCTTCCCTCGACTGCCAGCACCAGCTTCCCTTGTAGCACCAGCTTTGTCCAAAAGGACGTCTGGTCTAATCATCATATTACACTTTTATTATTATAGACCAGTGGCCCAGTGCATGAAATTTGTGCACATTAAAAGGGAATTAATTACAGGAATTTTAATATTGCTATTTGCCCTTTATAGTAGAAGTGTCAGAGATGAAAAAAAGTTAGTAAAATGTATATGAAAATCTCCCTCGTGTCGGAGTCTGGGGCGGGCCGCAGGACCTAGAGTTAAGTCCCCGTCCACCTTTGAAAACACAGGAGACTCACACCGCCGGCCCCACCCCCATTGGGTGAGACCCAGACCTGGCCAACCCCACCCCTGTCAAGCCCCTCCAAGTGGGGGGTGCAGCCTCGGGTCCCTCAGCCCGGTGTCAGGTGTGGGGTGCAGTCTCAGGGCCCCTGGCCCAGCACCAGGACAGGGAGGATGGCCCGAGGTCCCCCGTCAAACCCCACCAGGAGGGGGCTGTGGCCTGAAGTCCCTCATCAAGCCCCACCAGACAAGGGACACGACCTGAGGTCCCCATCAAGCCCTGCCAAGCATAGGGCATGGCCTGAGGTCCCCCGTCAAGCCCTACAGGGTGAAGGGGCACAGCCTGAGGTCCCCCACCCCCACCAGGCGCCATGCAGCCTCAGGTCCCTGGTATTCAGTCATGACATTAGGGCATTCCAGCTAATTTGCATATTCCTCTATTATATAGATAGATAAGATACTATGGGAGAATAGACAAAGAGTTAATCTTGTCCTCATTGCGTTGATTTTTTTAATAAACCTTTACGTTCTTAGATTTACAGTGTGGGCAAAAGAAATTGGTCCTCTTTCAGAGGAATATATAGGAATAAGTACTTCAAATTAGTTTCAATCTTTAAAATCATATTTTTTCCTTCAGGTCCCAACTTTAGTGTCCTTTTTCAGGGAATCCTTTCCTAACACATCCATAGTTCTAGATTCTTACGTTACATACGTGTCTATCTAACCTGCGGAAATGTAAGGCCTTTTTTAATAGAAACTATTTTCCCAATACCTGTGTATAGCAGTGTATTCTCAAACATTTGATGACAATGCCCTACACCTTTTTAAGGCCTTCCATTTATAGCTCAACTCACTTCCTCACTGGCCTCTTACTGGATTCTCATCATGGATGTTTCTATCTCTCCCAAAACTAATCTGATCATGTCTTTTCCCTGCTTGCAACTGGTCTTGTTTTGTATATTACATAAAATATAAACTTCTTAACATAGCATAAGAATCTTAAGTACTAACCCATCTCTCCAGTGGTGTGCAAAAAAGTTGGTTTACAGTTGTGAATATGCAAAGCAAGAGTTTATTCTTGTATTATTGCCCACACAAACAGCTATAAACCTACTTTTGCCCACCCCCGGTATCTTCCCTGTTTTTCCCTTTCCATGGGCCTCATATGAGTTTCCTCATCCAGTAACATTCTTCCCCTCTTGCCCACCTTACAAAGTCATCCCTGAAACAGATCTTGGATATAAGCCATTCTAACTGCTAGACAATATAGCACTGCTCCATGTCACACTGCTGTAAAGTTTGTTTCCCCTCTGGGGGTGAAACGGGTACCATTAGGCACTCCATCTATTTCTACGTTCCTAGAACTTCACAGAGCTTGACACATGATAATTAGTCTATTTGAATATAATAAATTCGTCAAATATTGAAGGCCAAAAGTTACTGTGGGAAAGTCATGCCCTCAAAAATGTCATACAAGGACCATTAAAAATCATTGTAGGGTCAACCTGTGGACCTATGAACCAGGACATCACGGCTGGATTCGGTCAGGGCACATGCCATGTTAATGGGATTCTCATCATTGACTTTTCTCTCTCCCTTTCCCATCCTTGAAAACCAATAAAAAATATATATATTTTGGCTCAGTGGATAGTGTCAGCCTGCGGACTGAAGGGTCCCCAGTTCGATTCTGGTCAAAGGCATGTACCTTGGTTGCGGGCACATCCCCAGTAGGGGGTGTGCAAGAGGCAGCTGATTGATGATTCTCTCTCATAGATGTTTCTATAACTATCTCTCTCCCTCTCTGCAAAAAAAAATCAATAAAATATATTTTAAATACAATATATATATATATTTTTTTTTTTTTAAATCATTGTAATGACAGGTTTATATGATAATCTTCTCTGTATCCTTGGGGGAATTGGTTCCCGGATACCTTCCCCCACCTCTATGGACACCAAAGTCTGCAATGCAAGTCCCTAATATAAAATAGCATATTTGCACATAACCTATGCATATTTAAATACTATGCAGAGTTGTTATGCTGTGTTATTTAGGAAATAATGACAAGGAAGAAGTGTACATGTTTGGTACAGACCCAGCCATTGAAGCCCTAACTACATAGTACACATCAATTACAACCTAACTTTTTAATATTAGAATCTGTGATTGGTTGAATCTACAGATGAGAAACTCAAAGATATGGAGGGCCAACTGTACATCAGGATATTGGAAAGATCGTGGTATACATGCTATTTTAATGGCCTAATTTGAGATTTCATTCTGCAAATGTAGTGGATATTTCTCAACCTAGTGTCACTACCCTGATTTTCTTTTAGGTTGTGTTTAAACAGTCAGCAACCATGATTGACATATTTGACTTTTCAAAGTATAAATCGAAATTTTTCATTTTTGTACTTTGTTTTTAAGATCATAGCTAATTTGGTTGTAAAATATGGTCATACACACTAATGCTTCTGCCACTATGATTATAAGTTAATATTTTTAGTAGTATTTATAGACCTTC